CACATAATACTACTCTTTGATTATATGAGGATAAACGATCGGACCCCGAAGCCACAGGACACTAGATCCATTCTCTAAACTTTCGTTGTCTAGCTAAGCGGACGGCATGTTTTTCATCTCGTGCTGTAATCTCGATAGGGTGACAAGCAGTTGATAGCCATGGTAGGTAACCACCAGCCGAAACTATCTATGAGAACAACACTTGTGCGTACAGTTACATGGTTCCACAAAAACTTCGCACCGGATGCCTCTTCTCGACCTCCAATCCCGTATGATGTTCACGCAGTGCCTCGTCGGTGACGGCGTTATCAGATGGATATTACCTTTTTCTCTCCCAGGAACACTGTTGCCAGTTCGCCGATTGCTTGATCGCCTTAGTGATACCGCTATCGAGTGGCGATTACGCCATCTTCCAATAACTGGGCACTTGTGGCGTCACCGGATTATCTCCCTCTTGGTAAGGGGTCGTGTTTACAATGCCACTGTCCGGGAGGTGTTACATGGAAGCGAGTCATGGCCAGTTCGCGTAGACGATGTGCGTCGACTCTCGGCCTTCGACAACGGGTGCTTGAGGGGGATTGCTCGTGTGTGGTGGCAACAACACATTTGCAACAGTGAAGTCAGACATGGTGTCTTAGGGAATGCGAGTATTCCCTTTAACAAGATGGTTTGGCTGCGCCAGTTTAGTTGGCTTGGCCACGTCCTGCGCATGTCAGCTGAGCGTCTGTCTTATCGCGTTTTGTTTGCTCGTGCATGACTCAATTGGAAGAGACCATGTGGTGGTCCATCATCCATCTGGCGAGAGCAAATGAAATCGTTGACTTCACGTCTTGTCACCATTGGATCCACACGTCTGCCTGGTTGGGGATCAAAGGACGAGGGGTGCCGATGGCTGGAAACAATTCAGGATATGGTTCTTAATGGAAGCCAGTGGAGGACCTGTGTGCATAACCGCTTAGGTTTAGATACTTAATGCTTAACGATTAAAAACGACAAAAAATTAAAAAATGGCGGGTGCGAAATAACAAAAAATGCCCCGTTGTTTTCAATATTGCGACACAATTGCCGAAGTGTGTTGCTCACCTTCAGTTAGTGTGCCATGATGCTGATACATTGTGTTCAACCTGTATTCTTTTAGTGATTTTCATGGTTGTGTTTGGCTCTATGTTTAGACTGCTGACTATATTACTACTACTACACACGGTAAAGTCGCTTTTGGGTTCAGCCGTAAAAGCACATCCACTAAAGCTCTGTGGATCTCGGAGTCTGTTCCTTACTATACACTGAAGTAGACTACCGCTGGGCGACCAGGTCTTCTCACAGGGCGTCTCAATCCGGAATTCGATCACCTACTGCAGTTGCACCGGGTACCGTTCGCAAGAACCGAATCTTTGGCTCTGACTAGGAAACCATGCCAAGCGAGGGCCTTGCAACAAAAGCGGAAACGGTTACGCGCAACCGATATGTTAATCCCAGCAGGAACCAACTTGATCGGGCAAGATCCATCGCAACGACACTGGACGGTTTGCGTACCTCTTGGACTATGCTGGGTGGTGCCCCTGGGCCACTCCCACCAGGTTGGTCAAAGATTAGAGGTCATGCGTACTGTTTCCAGGTTGGGGGTTGGAGATGGGATGTTGCCCATTTCTGTAAAACCGAATCGTTGCCACATCCGCTACCTTGCGGACAGACTTTTGAGCCAAACGCTTTGGTTGAGGACCCTAATCGTTCTCCTGTTTAGGTCTGGGTGCGCTGGCAATATCAGCCCACATACAACCATGACTACCTCTCCAAACTTCAACCATATCCTGCATCCGCCGTCGCGCAGCAGATGTGCTGCATACAGCAGGGCGGATAAGCGAAAACATGCTACTGCTGGCGCCTCATTTCTTGTCCTTCGGTTTCTCTTATCCCATCCCAGCCCCATTACTAGCCTTCCTTCCGTAATTCCCGGCTTAAGTGACAGCAGCCGCCATGCCACTGAAGTTACACCATATGCAGCTAGCCTTCCGCACCAACCACTGGACGCCAACAGCTCCTCATAAGACCACGCTGTCCCGTTTCCCTGGCGCCGTTCAACGTTCGTACTCTAAGACAAATAGGTCAAGAGGCTGCATTCGCACGCAAGTAAGACACACTGGGTATTGACGCGTGCTATGTGTCCGAAACTATGATCAATGACCCACATATCACTGTTGAACTAACTGCACCCGGTTTGTCCTCTCGCTATTGGTTGCACGCATCCGGAGACGCTGATGTGGCAACTACTGGTCAAGCTGGAGTGAGCATTGTTCTCAGCTCCATGGCCGTCATCGTTGGTTGATTGGATTCCAGTGAGCAGCCGTCTGTCCAGACCGTTTGACATCAACTAACGTTGATTCACGTAGTGCTATGCGCCATTTGTTTGTGGTTCTCGCTTATGCCCCCACCGACTGCAGTTCTGATGCCACCAAGGACACATTCTATCACGAACTGAACACGCTACTTCGCAGTGCTACCATTTGTTGTTACTGGAGATATGAATGCGCAAGTAAGTCATCTGGGCTCTTCAGAAGTTCAGCTAGGCGGTAAGTACGGGCTTAACTCCGACCGGACGGACAACGGCGAGTGTTTGTTGCAACTGTTCCCGGAGTGGCATGGCCTTTTAGGCAAAGTGAGCATCGAAGTCTCATTTGACATCCGTTTATAGCTGTTCAGCGATGGACCCAAATAGATCACGTTGCCGAAAGTTACAGTTGGCGTTTCTCCATCCTAAATTGTCACTCGTTCTGGAATACCTACGTCGAATCTGACCATGCTTTCGTACTATCGTTTTTCCAGTAACTTTAACGGTAGGCGTACCAAGCACTTCCCTCTATTGGCAATTGAGAAGTTACTTCAGTCCTTGATCAAGCAAGCCTATCTTTGCACGATAGCCAGCTGTTTGCGATGGTATGTTGTCTACACAAGGTGTAGGCGCCTTGGCCCTGAATGTTTGCTAAAGGTTTTCAGGTAAGTCCCCCTTCTCTCCCTCTTATTATTCTTTATTTCATAGGTCATCGGGGTTGTATGGCAGCGAAGCATCAGTTCAAACGGCTGATGTACTGCTGTTGTTGATTTTGATGATGATCAAGATGGCCGGTGTATCGAACTTTGTATCTCTTAATGACGTTGGGCTTCAGTGAAGATGCGGGACCTCTGCTCGCGGCACTATCAATCGTCTCCCCACCAGTCACTTGATATCCGAGAGGTCGGTGAACTTGCTGGAATTCAAAAGGAAAATTCCGCATGGCTCTGAGCACAATGTGACCAGACGGGCTATTAGGCGCGAACTAAAGCGGAGCCTGCGTGCTGACAAGGAAGCCTGGTGTACCAGTCGGGCTCAAGAAATGGAGGAGGCAGGAGCAGTAGGCAATTACCGCAAGCTCTTCCAGCTGATCCGCATCACTGGTTCCAGGAAATCAGGCGTCAGTGAGACAATCAGAGACAGCGCGGATGAACTGAATTACAGTAAGGAGTGTACTTCCGTTGGCGCGGGCTAAGCCATAGACGGTTAGTTTAAAGCCTCCATCGGAGGCTGAGGTCTGAAACGATCGTGTTGCTGGCCCGAATTCCCGTGACGACGATTTGGAGGCAACAATAATGTTCTCATCCGGACATACTGCTCACTAAGCGATCCGTGGAACTTACATTGACGTTGGGAGGAAGAAGGAACCCAAAGCAATGTTAGTGCATTTATGTACAGACAACAACAATCACCACATGATAATCAGATCTCGGGACCTTCTCCACCGGGAACCATCATGGCGATGTTACTTCCATTCAGCAGAATGTGGGACAACTTTGTAATCCGCTTTCCCTGAGCAGTGAACTCAAACTCGGTGACATCCACAAGCACCATATTGACGTATCCGTCGAACCCCAATAGCGTTCCAACCATTTCTTTGTCATTCTTCATTATGATGTGTATTCTCGACCCGATACATTTGTCGACCAACTCTAACGGTAAGAGCTGAGCAGGTGCAAGCGTCATATGACAGCTGAAATAGTGAGAAGATTGCAGTTCAGCAAGGGACCATAGGCACAAGAAGCATCACGCTGCTAAGGTATACCAAACTCATGGTTAAACGAAACCGATCATTCAGAGTTGTCGACAACTTTTCGTTGTCGAGCTCTTTTATCGCTATAAGAAGAGGCCTACCTTCAGAATACACATATATGTATATTCAATACGGCCAATAATACAATTGGCATGATGCTACAACTTATGGGAAATACAATAAACAAACGAAGAGAGAAAAAAAATATAAAACCGTGTTCGTGGGAATAGAGTGTCACAACAGATCCGCTATTGCTCACGGTTTCTTGCCATATCCGATAGGGTTTCCAGCCATGTGATCATTCCGCCCCCAGTCAGGGAGACGAGAGCGCGTGACCACGGTTAACTTTGAAGTTAGTTCCTTCATACTTCTGGACAATCTTTCGCTTCCGGCCGACTTCTGCGCGCGCGCGAAGTGGACACGGCGAGGTAAACGATGAGTAGGCATGCGAAGCACATGTCAAAGGCATTGAACTCTGCGCCGTGAAATTATGCTACTCAGTGGACGGTAAAGTCTGTCTGATCAGAAAACCCTCCGTTGAACATCCTTATTACTAGTGTGATGTTGCCACCGTACACCAGCAATGCTCCGAAGGCAGCAGTGATCAAAGACAAACAGCCGTTCGATATTCTTTGCACGAACAGGCTAAATCTCGCAGCCATAGAGCAGAACCGCTCTCAACGTGGCATTGTAAACTCGGCCCTTCAGAGATGAACTTAGAATGCAAAAGCAATCCAAGCCTTGAAGACGTGCAAGGAGACCTCATTCGTTGGCACTGACGCAGCTTCCGTGGTAAATGAACTTGTTTACTACATCCGACAAATGACCTGAAAAGGTAAGGAAAGGAGTAGCGCCTAGCCAGGAAGACCCTGCACTTCGATGGTGCGAACGTTACTCAAAACTGGGATACAGACACCTCCAACCTACGCTAGACATTCTTGGCGGACTGTGAAGAATCGCAGATTACGGCGATGTCGTCTGCGTATTCCAAATCCTGAAGTCAGTCCCCCGGAAGCATCTCAACTCTGTTGGGTTCGCAGTTCTCCAGAACATCCTCCAGGATTTCATCCACAGCGGAATTCAGAAAATCACTTGACACGATGTTGCGTACACGATGAATGAGGGCCTGTCTGCACGTTAGCGCTTGCAGGAACCGTCTTTCGTTAATGGTCGTCGGGCGCGCGTAATTCAGTTAGGTTTAGTTAAACCATGGTCTGGATACATAAGCACGGTAAATCCAGCTGCCACTACTCACTTCGCCAGATTAACAGTGAATCACAGCGGCCGGCCCGCAGCCTTAGGGATCACAAACCTGTTAGTATTCCGAGAGCGCAGGTTCGAGTATACGTAAGGACAAGGCAATCCTCGCAATATCCTTAGCCCACGTGCGATTGGCGGTGGTTGCGCGGCAGCGAAGCGTCGATAGTACCGACCGGCATACTGTTGATCGTCTTCTTTTTGCCTTTCACAGCGTAAGATTGAAGATAGATAACAAAAGAAATGGAATCAGAGAAAAACTTAGGTTAACCGGGACGGAATGAAAATATCCGTTAGGTGCAAGAATCCGAAAACAGAAGCGCCACAAATTGCCTCATGTTGGACAGTACACAACTTCTTCGGATCTTCCGAAGCTCCATCAGCTAATTCCTTTTCGTACAACAGCCGAGCTTTCCTTAAGTGCTGTTTACACCTATTTCTAGCCTCGCGGTATCTATCATAGGTGCTAGCTGATGGAGCCGCACGGTAGGTCCTCCAGCACCTAGAACGCTTCTGGAGCAGGTACTTGCCAGTGGTATCTATCCATGGCGGCCGTGCTCGTGTCTCCTTTCTCCTCGCAAGCGGGATGTAGGGAGTAGACACTTCCGTGAGATAAGATTTAAATTTATCCCAGGCCGCCTGAACCGTATCTACCACCGAGATTTCGCATCACCATCATCAACAGCAGTACCTCAGCCATTTGAACTGATGCTACGCTGCCATACAACCATGAGGACCTATGAAATAGAGAATAAGAGGGAGAGAAGGGGGACATACCTGAAAACCTTAATGCCCAAAGCAAACATTCAGGGTCAAGGCGCCTACACCTTGTGTAGACAACATACCGTCACAAACAACTAGCTATCGTGCAAAGATAAGATTTCGCAACGCAACCCAGAAGCCTTGATACGCATTGCCTGATAGTTAGCACGCCATATGTGTGGAAATGACTCAGCGATGCTCTGGTGACGCCTGGTCAGAGTACACCTGAACGATAAACAAACATGATCACTAGCACCTAAGGGAGAGCTGTAAGTGATGTCACCTACGAAGTCTAGTGACTTGGCAAACAGTAGATCCAAAATAGACGGGAGTTGGGCATCCATGTACTTAGTGGGGAGGTTCACGAACTGATGCAACGGTACTTGTAGCGTAAGCTCAAGTAGATCTCCACCGAAAGTACCTTCCGCCGAGTTGCAAGAAAGATCTGCCCAGCAAACTTCTGGTAGATTGAAATTCCCCAGTATCAAACACTTGTTTGCGGATTGGGAGAGAATAAAGTCAAGCACCTCTTTGGACGCACTCACATACACAAGTACAACTGTAAGTTCAGCTGAGGAAGTGCTAATCACTACCGACAGAGCTTCGACAGTTTTAGCTGCCGACTGAAATATGTAGGTACGTGAAACGTCAAGTTCATAGCTAACGTAAAGCGCAACGCCCCCGCCTTGTCGGTCAACGAAGCGATCACATCTAAATAGTGCGTAGCCAGACAGATGTACTTCACCGTCCGTGATGTCCCGAGACAGCCACGTTTCAGTGAATGCAAGTATATCGGGATGAGACCCATCTACAAGCAGGCCTATCTCGCTCATCTTATTCCTTAGGCTCCGCACATTGCTTAGCACTATCTGAAGGTACTCGTAATGTCCAGCACTGGGTCCTGCACTACCAGTACTGGCACTGGTAGGGCGGAAACAGACCGCCGGCTGACCACCCGAAAACCCACCAACCGGAGACCTTGTTCACCGGCCGCTCGCTTGGTTTTGAGGTCCTTAATGGCCTCTTTTAGCTTCAGCCTATCCGCTAATGGGAGGTCTGGCTGAACGCTAACATTAGTACCCTTCAATTTGAAGGCAAACTGCAACAGCGCGTTGCGTTCCTCCGGGGAGGATAGGACTACACGAGGTAAGCGCGGTCGAGTGTTTGGAGCGTTACCCAATCTAGTCAGTTTCCTGACAGTAACACCGGGAAACCCAGGCGGAAGAAACTTCGTTACGCACATCTTAAACCACTGTAGGTTGTCTAACGTACGCTCAGCAGGAAGTGCAGCAGTGGATTCCACTGCGTTACGGAATATCACGCTGCTATCCACGAAAGAATCACCTCGACGGGGTGTATTTACCCCAATGGTTTAGGAATTTACATGAACAGCAACCGGCTTAGCCGCAGGCAATGAGACGGCGCAAGTTATCCGACGACATTGAAGCAACTGTATCGTACGTCTTACGCTCCAGCATGTTTGTCCCATCATTCTTGACGCTTTTTGCACCTGCCTGAAGTTCTGTTCTGCAGTTCTGTTCCGATTTTTCTTCCGTCCTGCAGGCGAAAAAGCCCGTGGCTCAACGTATATGCCCGCCTCCACGACCTATACCCCCGGAAGAGAAGATGAGGTGTTTGGAGTAGACACCGCAGTTTGAGCAACATGCGACGGAGACATCTGGGGTTTTTTCACCCCCTGCCTGCACAACCTTAGGTGAAACTGAGGGAATTTCATCATTAGGTGATGTTTCTCGCTCAGGCGGTTGCATTTTGAGCGACTTCTCACTTATCGGTTTGGGTGCGGAGGGTTTGCGCACTTTCCTTGCCCTCTTTCGCCTATTCTTTTCTGGCCCAGGAGCCCGTGACTCGCCCTCCATTTGTGGAGGGTCAACAATGCCGTCCGAGGCATATGAGTCAGTTATCTCAATGTGTACTGAAGCGTTCGGTAAGATGAACGACCCATCAACGGATAGTCTGTCAGCAGTGGGACAGTCCGCTACAGAGTCCTCATTCGCAATACTCAGGTAATTCATAATCAAATCCACTTTAGAGTTGAGCGAGGCAAGCCCGACTAACGCCTTCTCAACCACTGTGAACCTAGATGTCAGTGCCTTAAATTCAGCACAGATGATAGCCGGGCACTTCGCTTTCTGAGTGCAACAATCAGCACATATAAACAGAAGGTTTTCACTGGATGATAGCACAGTGTACTGATTCGCTCGGAGGCCGGTACAACTTTTCTGATACCAACGGGAACAAACATCACACTGCATACCACCAGATGAATCCGTAACCGGCCTTGAACATGGAGAAGTGCTGCAAGCTGCATTTGACTAATCAAATGAGGACGCAAGGAGTTCATCCGCCTCGGCTTTTCGCGAGACGACCATGTTTAAGTGGAAAACAGAGCAGAATTATAAACACGTATACAACCGTAAAACGACCACAATAAAAAGGCAAAACAGGGTGTAAAACGGGATTTAAAAAGGGAACAACCGCAAAATTACCAGTAAACATCAGATTCAGATGAACTGGTGCGATAAGAAAATCCCTTGAGTGTTCTTTCTTGATCGGATCGTTGAGCCAGGAAGTGATAAGGTGTTAGGACGTGATAGATCTAAAACGAAACACCCGAAACACACCCTGATCAACCAACTACTGCCCACGTTCCCTGCACTAGCAGTCCTCGCTGTGTAGGTTACGTGAAGTAAGAAAGAAGTAGAAAGTAAATGGAAGATAAAGGGGAATAAAAGTCAGACAGAATAAGAACTAAAAGTTTGAAGATGCATATGGTCAGGATAAGGGAAAGGTTCGTGTTGCCACCCAAGAGCGTCTAACTGACGCTCGAAACCCTTAACCGTAGGTTCACTGACTACATTTTCTGGAAGCGAGTTCCAGCGCTCGATAACTCTACGCGATAAC